GGATTTAGGATTTAGGATTTAGGATTTAGGATTTAGGATTTAGATTTAGGATTTAGGATTTAGGATTTAGGATTTAGGATTTAGGATTTAGGATTTAGGATTTAGGATTTAGGATTTAGGATTTAGGATTTAGGATTTAGGATTTAGGATTTAGGATTTAGGATTTAGGATTTAGGATTTAGGATTTAGCAAAATGGAGGCGTGCCCAAAACCATCGATTTCAGTATTAAAAAATCGCACTTTTCATTGCGGCCAGGGCAGATGCTGGGGTCCCCCCTCCTTTAGAGAGCGTTTTGAAGGCTTTTAGGATTTAGGATTTAGATTTAGAATTTAGGATTTAGGATTTAGGATTTAGGATTTAGGATTTAGGATTTAGGATTTAGGATTTAGGATTTAGGATTTAGGATTTAGGATTTAGGATTTAGGATTTAGGATTTAGGGCAAAATGCAGGGGTGCCCAAAACCATCGATTTCTGTACTAAAAAATCGCACTTTTCATTGCGGCCAGGGCAGATGCTGGGGTCCCCCCTCCTTTAGAGAGCGTTTTGAAGACTTTTAGGATTTAGGATTTCGATTTAGGATTTAGGATTAAGGATTTAGGATTTAGGATTTAGGATTTAGGATTTAGGATTTAGGATTTAGGATTTAGGATTTAGGATTTAGGGTCCCAGGCTCCTCCCGGACCATTTCTGTGCCTTTTTGGGCTCCTCCTGGACAGTTTCTACGTTTTTTTGGGCTCCCGGACAGTTTCTGTTTTCCCGGACAGTTTCTGAGCCTGTTGGGGACAACGAGCGATGGCGCCGCGGCCCCGAGCGCGGAATCGGTGCCCTCCATCCGGGCCTGCTCGGGCATAAAACTTTCTTGGGATTTTCCTGGGGCTTTCCTGGCCCTTTGACAACATGGAGGGGTGCCCAAAACCATCGATTTCTGTACTAAAAAATAACATTTTTCATTGCGGGCCCGAGCAAATCCTGGAGGTCCCCTTCTTCTATGGGTTTTTTTGAAGCCTTCTGGTGACTCTTGGGGCCTCGTGGGTGCTTTCTCGTACTCTTGTAGCCCTTTTGGGGTAAAACGTTATGATGATATCCACTACAGCAGAGAATACAAAAGCAGCAGAGAATACAAAAGCAACGAGAGAACAAGAAGCGTTCTTGTACACAGCGGCGCCACGGAGCGCAGTGACAACGAGCGATGGCGCCGCGGCCCCGAGCGCGGAATCGGTGCTCCCAGCCGGGCCTACTCGGGCGTAAAAACACAACGTATAAGCAGACTGTTGCCCCTGCTTTACTTTTCGTTGTGACCAACACCATCGATTTGGGTGCTAAAAAATAGCATTTTTCATTGCGGACCCGAGCAAATCCTGGAGGTCCCCTTCTTCTAGGGGGCCTTTTGAAGCTTTTTGGTGGCTCTTGGGGCCTCGTGGGTGCTTTCTGGTACTCTTGTGGATATCCACTACAGCAGAGAATACAAAAGCAACGAGAGAACAAGAAGCGTTCTTGTACACAGCGGCGCCACGGAGCGCAGTGACAACGAGCGATGGCGCCGCGGCCCCGAGCGCGGAATCGGTGCTCCCAGCCGGGCCTACTCGGGCGTAAAAACACAACGTATAAGCAGACTGTTGCCCCCTGCTTTACTTTTCGTTGTGACCAACACCATCGATTTCTGTGCTAGAAAAAAAGCATTTTTCATTGCGGGCCCGGGCAAATGCTGGAGGTCCCCTTCTTCTAGGGGGCCTTTTGAAGCTTTTTGGTGGCTCTTGGGGCCTCGTGAGTGCTTTCTGGTAGTCTTGTGGCCCTTTTAAAATTTTGGGGTAAAACGTTTATGATTTTTATTAGAATATCCACTACAGCAGAGAATACAAAAGCAACGAGAGAACAAGAAGCGTTCTTGTACACAGCGGCGCCACGGAGCGCAGTGACAACGAGCGATGGCGCCGCGGCCCCGAGCGCGGAATCGGTGCTCGCAGCCGGGCCTACTCGGGGTGCCCAAAACCATCGATTTCGGTCCTAAAAAACATTTTTTATTGCGGGCCCGGGCAAATGCTGGAGGTCCTTTTTTGGGGGGCCTTTTGAAGCCTTTTGGTGGCTCTTGGGGCCTCGTGGATGCTTTCTGGTACTCTTGTGGCCCTTTTGGGGTAAAAACGTTTATGATTTTTATTCAGATATCCACTAGGGCAGAGAATACAAAAGCAACGAGAGAACAAGAAGCGTTCTTGTACACAGCGGCGCCACGGAGCGCAGTGACAACGAGCGATGGCGCCGCGGCCCCGAGCGCGGAATCGGTGCTCCCAGCCGGGCCTACTCGGGCGTGAAAACACAACATATAAGCAGACTGTTGCCCCCTGCTTTACTTTTCTTTTTGGTTTATATTAAAACAACCCACAACTACAGCAGAGAATACAAAGCAACGAGAGAACTATCAACAAAAAAAACCCTAAACCCTAATAGAGTAAGGTTCTTGGGGTGGGGTTTTAGCTTTCGCGCGACGCGCCGCCCACGACCCCTTGGGTCGAGGCGCGTCGCTTCAGTGGGCAAACCCTAAACCCTAAACCCTAAACCCTAAACCCTAAACCCTAAACCTTTCAAGGCACGGAGCGGCACGAGAAGATCCAGAAGCAAGTGGCCTGGGGGCCCAGACGTTCTTAAGGAAGGGTTTAGGGTTTAGGGTTTAGGGTTTAGGGTTTAGGGTTTAGGGTTTAGGGTTTAGGGGTTAGGGTTTAGGGTTTCGGGTTTGGGGTTTGGGGTTTGGGGTTTGGGGTTTAGGGTTTAGGGTTTAGGGTTTAGGTTTAGGGTTGGGATGTTCCCCCTTATACTAACAGTCCTTAAGAGGGATTAAATAGGGATATACATAATCCTATCAAGAACTGTTAGTAAAAGGGGGAACATCCCAAGTTCAGGGTCGGTTGGTTTCGGGGGGCCTTGGCGCCCTCCGCCGCAAGAGGCTGTTTTTTGGCTTAGGGTTTACAGGGTTTTAGGGGTCTATAGGGTTTGGGTGTACCGATGAGGTACTTGGGGACGTGGCCAAAGCCTGATTTCACTCGTTTTGTCCTGGCTGCTGGAAAAGTTGGGCATCCATTTCGCACGCGATGACCTGGCTCCGGCTCTACTTGGAGCTTCGTGGTACTTGGTAACCCAACTACAACTGTACTTAGAACCCAGTTATAAGCCCATAAAAGTGCTAAAAATGTGGTTCTAATTGGGTTATAAGTACAGCTAACCCTAAGCCTTAAACCCTAAACCCTAAACCCCTATTTGGATTCTTAAGTACCATGAACCTCCAAGCAGCTCCATCTTCGCGTTTGATGATTCTCTGCGCGCTTGCCCGTGACCCGCAGACTCCAATATGTTAAGCATCCTCTTTTAGGGTTTAGGGGTTTAAGACTTTTTCCTTCTATTCGGGCGTCCAAAATGCAACCGGGCGTTCATCGAAAACGGGTCGGAAAATATTAAATATGGGCTTCTCATCATGCGCCGGGCGTGCATCGAAAACGTTGTATTTTTTATCCTTCTTATATTATTATGTTTTTTTAATTTCACTACATATTTAATATATTATATTATACTAATTTAGTAGTTATATATCATTCATAATGTAATTATTGCTCCCATCTCATCAAATCAAACGGAAGATGAAGTTGTCCGAGCTGAGGGGGTTTTGGGATATTATTTAGGGTGTGGGGGCCTGTTTATTTAGAGTGTCAGTCAGTGTCAGTTGCGATTTTGGCTGGCGTGCTGCCTGACAGAATCAGAGCGTTGAGGCAATTTGGACAAGAAGTCAAGTCTAATTCAGATCGGTAAGGCTAGGGCGCATGATGAATCACAGCTTTTCTGCCTTAGGAGTTTGATGTCCACTCGCCTTTAAACTTTAAGGGTGATGAGAATGATAACAAGATCCTGCGTTGAACCTTGCAAGTGCTTGTGTTGTGTGTGTCTGTTTCGTATCAGAATCGAATCAGAAGCGGCTGCAGAATTCTGCCAGTGACCGTGATTGCACTCAGCACATTTTGAGTTCAGACCAGTCTCAGTTTGAATCACATGGCAACTGGCCTGCAGCATGTGGACTGTGGCCTGGATGACACGCAGCCTGCCGCCAAAAGTGGCACGCAGCCTCGACGCCAAAAGGCCACACTCCCTGGACGACATCATCATGCAGCCTGCTCGTTGCTTGATTCTGCGTTTACTGTAACTGTGCCTTTGCAAAAGCCAGGGGCCTTGACAAGGTAGGAGCTGAGAGTGCGCGTGCTCTTTATCGAGGGTGTGCGGCCGGTTATTACGCGAAATGCGCCTTGCGTTCAGAATCTGAATGACAATGAATCATCGTCAGATGTCAAGCAATTAAGTTCGAGGCCACTCCCTGTCGAGCGGCCCTTTTTTTTTTTTTTTTTGATTTACAAGCCACATGCCCTGCAGGCAGCCCTACACTTCCAGCCCCTGCCATGTTCAGAGTCGCGCGGCCCTCTTTTTTCTTGATTTACAAGCCACATGCGCTGCAGGCAGCCCTACACTTCCAGCCCCTGCCATGTTCAGCCTGTAGTAGTAGTAGTAGTAGTAGTAGTAGTAGTAGTAGTAGTAGTAGTAGTAGTAGTAGTAGTAGTAGTAGTAGTAGTAGCAGCAGTAGCAGCAGTAGCAGCAGTAGTAGTAGAAGAAGTAGTAGTAGTAGTAGTAGTAGTAGTAGTAGTAGTAGTAGTAGTAGTAGTAGTAGTAGTAGTAGTAGAAGTACTAGTAGTACTAGTAGTAGTAGTAGTAGTAGTAGTAGTAGTAGTAGTAGTAGTAGTAGTAGTAGTAGTAGTAGTAGTAGTAGTAGTAGTAGTAGTAGTAGTAGTAGTAGCAGGCGTCCTTGGCCCTTCCTTAAAATTTTAAACCAGAAAACTTCAGCCCTGCAGATCGATCTTGGCATGCCATGCTCTGACCATTTTGCCATAACTCTAATAGCGCACGTCGTTTCGTTCCAGCGCCATGCGGTGCTCATGGCCGCCATCATTATAACGACACCAGCTGCAGATGCTGGACAGACAGGCCCATCTTGGTTCAGACTTTAAATCAGTTGGCCTGACGTGTCAAATGTCAAATGTCGGACTGAGTATTATTATGTTATGTCTGCAGCGTGCTCTGACCAGGACCATTGTCATGTCAGACAGTGCTTGTCAATTGTCAGTGGTCAGCTCAGCTGCGCAGGCTCGCGACAGGCTGACGACCTGGGATTGGACCTGCTCATACCTGCTCATCCATGGTGCTCCTGGCGAGTTTAACTTTCGGGGCGATGCGTGGTTGTGGTACCTTGTGGTGTCAGTTGTTGAGTCTGTGTCAGTCTGTCACTGTGTGTGCAGGGCGTAGGCTTAGTAGGCAAGGTCTAGGCAGTTGTTGTTGCATGATGTGGCGAGGCTCTCGATGTCTACGTGCAACGGGTGATATGGACTCGCTGCGTGCTCGGCTCAGAGTTCAGAGGTGAGGTGTAGAGCAATAAGTTTAGAGCTTCGGGTTTTTATGAGGGACCTCCTGACCATGGAGTGCGGCAGGTGATCTGAATCAGGAATGATACCCTCGTGTCTACCACCGTGTGTCTGGGGCTCAGATTGTCGTGTTCTGACTGTCACTGTTAGTAGCAGTAGAGACCGTGACGCTCAATGTCAATCATAATAATAATACATGGATTCTGCAATAAATAAGATATGGGTGGCGTAATTGGTCCCGGAAATAGAGGATTTAGCAGAAGAACCGATAATCTAGGCCTTAGGGTTAGCCAGGCAAACCTAGGGTTCAAGCCAAAAGAATAGCCAGCCAAAAGACCAGCCAGCCCCAAACTGAATCCCTGAAGCTCAGTTTCGTCGCGCGCTGCGTGTCTAGGGTCGAAGCGATCATTATGTTATTCAGCGCTGCTGTCAAACCTTAGTAGCAGTGCCTGAACCCACGCTGATCATCGAGGTCGGCGCCCATGAGCTCTTACAGAGCAGATTCTGTACAGAACTGAGTTAGCCCATGGGCTGGACCTGGACCGTGTCACTGTCAGTCTCAGTCCGAATTACACAGCCAGGGCCCAATTGGCATACTGCTACCAAGTCACGCCTGCATATCAGCTTCTGATTCGACCGCCAGTTCATCTGATCATCATCTCTAAGTCTAAGTCTATTGAATGTGAATGTCGCAGGGGCTCAGAGCCAACTGCCTGCGCGATCAGGACAATTTCAGAGCCCCGCTGACTTCGGGACGGGCGCGAAGAACAGTAACAGCAGCGACTCAGAGCGATAGACAGGGCCTCACAGACAGCTTGTCATAGCAATGCAAAATTTATTGCAGAGCGTGACGTCCTTGAGGTCCGGTGCTCAGTGGCCTGCAGTTGAAGACTTTAAGCAGTAGCAGTAGCAGTAGTCCGAGCAGTAGTAGCAGTATAGTGGTGCCACGGGCAGTGCGTGAGTTTGACTGACTGAGTTTGAGCCATGTTCGCAGCTAAGATCTGACGCGGAACATCCATCAAATTCAAGTTCAAGCTCAAAGCTCGGCCCACAGTCTCTGTTCTGCCGCAGCTGCATGTTGGATTAGACCGAAAGGCCCTGAACCCTGCACTAATAATAAACCCGGTAGTAACCCAAAGCCTAGGGTAAAGCCAAGTCCAGGAAGGGGTAGTTGATGGCTCGAAGTGAAACGTTTCGCACGTTGTCACACCGTGTCAGCTTGAACAGTGCAGTCAGTCAGGTAGTAGCTGCGCAGATCTTGCGGGAATCGTCCATAGCCTACTTTCGCAGCAATGTTGACGGACAATTGGAAACAACGGGCAGAGGCGCGGAGACACATCGAGATTATTCAGAGAAGTTTGGGGTCAAGGGTTCAAGTTTATTAGGGAGTTGGGGCACTAAGGTTTTTAGAGCTTGTTTTGAGTTAGAATTTCTGCTCAATGCTTCCCTCTAGCCCTCTACCCCCTACCCCCTAGACTCCACTCCTCCCCTCTCGCTCGACCCCCTACCCCCTACTCCCACCCGACCTTCCACCTTTCATCCCCTTCTACTTCTCATGATTGTTTTTTTTGAAGTTCTCATGTGCCAGTAGTAGTGACTGAGTTGTGGGGAGGCTGAGGATGTCTCGGGCATTCAGGTCCCAAAACGAAGGCGGTGGGCCCCCCCCCCCCACCCCAACCCCACCCCCCCCCCCCCACCCCCCCCACCCCCCCCCCCCGCCCCCACCCACCCCACCACCCCCCCCCAACCCCCCCCACCCCCCCCCCCCCCCCACCCCCCCCCCCCCCCCCCCACCCGTTACGCCAAGTCGCCCCCACCAACACTCTCCTACCCACCAAAAAAGAATTGTGCGGACCCGTTGGCCGGGTGTCCGGGGGTAGGCCTCGTTCTTCGGAACTTGGCAGGGAACTCTGAGGCCAACGCAGCGGTGGGGCTGCATGACAGCAGGGCAATGCGCTACCGCGCCTGCTGGGGTTCCCTGTGTTGGGTGTGTGAACACGCACTCTTCCGCCACTGGGATGGGAGGCCTGTGACCGACCACTTGTTGCCCGCCCCCCCGCCCCCCCCACCCCCCCACCCCACCCCCCCCCAACCCCCAACCCCCCACCCACCCCCCACCCCCCACCCTCTTATCAAGAGCAATTATCATTTCGCTTGTATTGTGAAAAGCACCGGATCCGGGACCCGGATCTGGGGCCCGGAGCCGGGTCCCGCAAAACGGAGGCCCCGATTGCAGGGCCCGTCACTAAGTGCTAAGTTCAAGCCCACTTATTAATTGATAATGCAATTAGCTTTTGATCAGTCAAAAGCAATGAATTTTATTTGCAAGACCTTGAATCCGGGACCCGGATCCGAAGCCGGATCCGGGGCCCGGATCCGGGACCCGGATCCGGGCCCCGGATCCGGGTCCCGGATCCGGGTCCCGGAGCCGATCCCAAAGCGGAGGCCCGGTTGCAGGGTCCGTAACCAAAGCCAGGCCCATGCTACCGAACCAATTGCATTCTTACTTGACTCAATTAGTATTAGACTCTTATCAAGAGCTGCTTATTGTCCTACTACAAGGATCCGGCATCCGGATCCGGGGCCCGGATCCGGGCCCCGGATCCGGGCCCCGGATCCGGGCCCCGGATCGGGGCCAAGGATCCGGGACCCTTATGAAAAGCTTCGACTTAAAATGCTACTTAAAATGATACTGTTAATTAATTATGAATTTAAACTTCAAACAAAACGTTTCCTAAGAGGACATTTCAACAAGGATTTGACACTGATCCGGGGCCCGGATCTTAGTATCAATCAATCTTCAATCAGTATTAGATAGACAATGTAAAATTAAATGAATAATAATAATAATCATATTAACAACAACTTAATAATAATAATGATAATAAAATAATTTAATAATAATAATTATTATTAATTGTTATTGATATTGTTATTATCTACTAAGCACATGGCCAATAATAAACGTTCCCAACTGTAACTCCGGACCTTGCCCCCGGACCTTGCCCGGAATTCTTATCAGTCAGATCAGTCATCATGTCATCCTCGACAGGTCAAATGCCTTCGCGCGGCGTTTCCATTGCTGAAGAGGCGCCAGGGGTCTTAAACTTTAGAGTCGGCGTTGAATTGGCAGTGAACAATGATCTGTGGGCAGCAGTGACACAATCCACGCTGAGCAGACTGCAGCTTATTATCCGTTGGCCATCATGTCATGTCGATGATGGTGCTGACAGAATAACGCTGCAATGTAAGCTCGCAACCTGATGAAGTTGAAGTTGAAATTAACTACAATAGAAGCAGGCAATCTACATCTAGTTTTACCAGCAGCCGACTTCAGTCTGAGTCTGGCGTTGGAATGGTAGCCAAGCGGAAACTGGAGGTGCCGGCGCCTTTGAAGTGTGAGCCAGGGGCCTCTCGCCCACTGGCCCTGGTGCATGTGAAGCGTGAGCCAGGCAACTCAAACTCCCCAGGCGACTCTGACTGTGTGGTCGTGAAGGATGAGTCGTCCGGGGAGTTGAGTAGGAAGAAGGCGAGGAATAAGACATATGAAGACAACAGAAAAAACAAACGAAGAAGCCGCAAAGATTCGCAGAGAGTGCCGGAACTGGAAGCGCGCGTGAAAGAGTTGGAAGAAGAGGTTCAACAGGCTTGGCGCGCTGCCAAGAAGTCGTTCCCGGGTCAGAATTGATCCTGGTTCTGATGTTATTTAAAATGATAGTCTTAGTTTGTGAATTTAATTTGTAAGACACGTTGCACCCGAAACCAGCCGAGGGATATCACTGCCAAAGCGGCTGAGGCCCTTCTCAAAAAAGAGCACCTCAGCTGCAGCGTGATCATCATCCAGGATCGTCGTTGGGTGCGACGACTCCGACTCGTTTTTAATTCCGTCAGTCGTCGCACGTCTTGATCCACCCCTTTGAGAAATCTATGGTGTTGAATAACAAAACTTTATTTGTCATATACAATAAGAGCGTGGCTGTCACTGTCCACTGTGTGACTGTTACTCAGGAAAGAATCAGTGGCAATGCTGGCCCAGAAGCTCCGCTGGCACGAAACTGTACGTGACTGGGCAGCCACAAATGCGAGCACCTTGACCCTGCTTAGAATATTGAGCCATAATACTAGGGTGGCAATTTTTTGAAATGTTTCCCAACCCTCCGCCCCAACCCCCGGCCCCTCCAACCCCCAACCTCCCAACTCAACCCCCCAACCCGACCCCCCAACCCCCATTCCCTTTCAGATTCAGTGCCATTCATGTTGTAGCCGAGGAGAGACACTCCAGCGGGGTGCCAATGCAGAGAATCAGGTCTCCACTTTGCTGAGTTGGCTGCATCTGGAGGACCAGCCGGTTTTCAGACCAAAGGCGTCGATTCCGAATTCTGAGTCAAGCTTGATGGTGGAGTAGAAACAGTAGTCGGTGGCTGCGAGAAGAGTTAAGTTACTTACGTTGTCACTGTTGATAACCATCCGGGCGGCGGCCTCATTGACTTTCGTAGGTTGTTTCACATTGAAATTGGGGACGCAGCAAGGGTAGACAAAGTTTGGAGACTCGGAGAAAACACACAGGACAGACAGACGACGCCAGCGACTCTTTAACAAATGAATGATGGACCGGCCTGGCCCGGAGTGACAATTCAATTCGTAGTGCAATCAAGGCTTTGGACCCTGGAGTCAGAGTCAGTCAGTCAGTCAGTGTGTTGGGGAGTCTCCCGCTCAGCTCGAAAGCCTGGCTTTGCGAGTGAATCAAAAATGGTTGAAGTTTCTGTGTGCGCCCTGATTGCATGGACCGCCAACCAGTGGTGTGCACCTTGCGGTTTGCTTTCAGACTCACAGTACTTGATTTTGCAGGCTACGGCCTGCGGGTTATCGGCCACGGCTACTATG